AAATGCCAAGAAACTTTAGAGCTTTAAAATATACTAAAATGATTCTCTCTGGTTTCAGACTTGTTTGTTTGTTTGCTTGTTTTTTTTTTTTTTTAGGAGTAGAACCATTTTTTTTTAAAGTGTACTCTTTAATGCAGTCCCACCAATACATAAATATATTACTCAAATAACAGCAGAACCCTTCCTCCTAGGCTTATACTCCCCACCATTTTCCTCCTCACCCACAACCTCCCTTCCCTAAAATGAAAGAAATCCTCTCCAGCCCCTCACAAGTGTCAGTCACCCTTCATAGAAATGGACTAGGCTCTTGGAGTGACACATTCTTGGTTTGTCAAAGTAAGGTTGGGAGAGCTCTGTGGAGAGTGAGAGCCCAGCCCCAGTTGAGTGGCTGGAAAAGTTTACAGAGCAAGACATAGGAGCCCTTCTCTCCAAAGGTAGTCTTTTATTGCTTTTTAGCAATCAGTCTTGGGGAGTCAAAGTAGATCAAGACAAAGAAGACAAAGTTGCAGCCTGTGTGGACTTCTTTGTCTCGGCTTCCCCTCTGAGTACTTTAACACCTACTAAGGTCTGGCCCTTGGGGTTGCCTGCGTCTGGCCCTATACTTATCCCTGTTGAGAAGGCCACTCATCTCTTAACCATACTCCTCTGCCCCAACTTGGATTTGTCTTCTAGGCCTCTACTTGGGTGCCATATTGTCTTATAATTCTCGATACTTCTGTCAAGATTGGGTTCTTCTGTTTGTTCTCAAAACTGTTCGTACTTCTCCCAAGTCAGATGATCTCATGTACTATGCCCGTGCATCCCTGTCTCTTCCATTAACTGGTCAGCTACCTGAAGACAGGTGCCAAGCTATATGTTCCCAGGCTCGGTTGCTCTTCATGTACACGCACTATAATGTTACTTGAACAAGTTAACATATATTTACATAGGGCAGGGAACTGATACTACACAGAAATTAAAGGTATGGTCTTTTGCCACTTGCTGGCTTTGTGACTCTAGGCAAATCACTTCAACACTCTGAGGCACACAAATTTATGCTGTATAAAATGAGAATAACAAAACCGCTGCTTCATAAGAAAGCTTTAAGACTTTAGTTAGATTTTCCACATTAAAAATATTTAGCTCTAAATTACCACAACCAACATGAGCTCAAAGAATGTTAACTATGATAATCATAACAGTTATTAATAGCTATGAGAGTTATTGTTACTATCATCTGCCCCTATGTGTTTTGTCCTTGGAGTCAGAGATTTCTACCTTGTCAGGTAAGAACCCGAGGCAAAGAGCCAGTTGCCTCTTTTCTCTGCCACATGCCAAGAGGCACTCCCAAGAGCCTCATGTCCTCTACCCATCTGATTGCACTTGTATCTTGGATGTTCCTTTGTGGCTTTCCTCCCATGTGCTTCAGGGGGACTGATAGAGTTGGCTAGAAATAGTAGCCTTTGCCTTCTGGCTGATTACACAGGATTTTCTGCAAAGAGATGTGTCAAGCCCCTCACATCTCATTATAAGCTTCCATGGGCTCCCTTCATTATATAGTGTTCTCTGTGGTTTTTATTTTAGCCTGTACTCTGGGGGGCCGGGGTGGGGGGAATTCAATGGTGCCAGGAATAAAGAGTCTGAGAGATAGCTGGAGCACGGGGACTTTCAAAGTTGTAACACAGTGTGGTCATTCTTCTCTAGGACCTGTGTGTTATAGCTTATTTCTCCTCCTGAAAATCAATTTTAATAGGATCTCTCCTGGAGTCTCCATGAGGCCTTACCAATCCCCAGGGAAAAGGTGATCCTAAGGCAAAAGTGCAGACTTCCATAATGAAGAGCAGTGTTCAGACTAGACAATCAAACACTGTGTTGACAATGGTCAGGCCTTGTCTCATGGTGGAGCAGCACTTATTCCCTTGCCCTACTTTTCTGCCAAGAACTCATTGGCACTTTTCTATTCTCCAAGAGATTTATTTTCTCTTCTCCAAGAGATTTATTTGACAGTCTGGATGCAAGATCACATATTATTTGTTATGCATATTTCTTTAATATTAACTGACTTTTTTGACCCAATAAATTTTTTTAATGAATCCTTGTTATATATCAGACTCTTTACTAAAAGCTTTGCATCTCTTACCTCATTTAATCCAAAAATACTATGAGCTTATTAACATTATTCCTATTTTACAGATAAGAAAACTGAGACTTAGCAAAGTAAATGATTTGCCAAAGAACAAAGTCATTGAAAAGTGGACAGAAGAAATCTGTTAGTAATAGTCTCTAAGTTTAAGCTTTTAAGAAGCAGCAAGACTCTTCTAATTTATTTTCTGTAAGCATGTGGCTAGATATGCAAACAGGCATAAGACATTCAAGTGATTCCTTATTAAAAATTATTTCTTTTTCTTATAACTAAACGTAGATTAAATATCTATATATTATATATCTATATGTTATTTTAAATAATATATCTGAAACACAATTTCAAGTCAGGAGCCCATGATCCAGTTTTGGTTCTGCCATCAATGTGGAAAGTTACTAAATGTCCCCTGCCATTGGGTGTCTTTATTTGTAAAATACATGGTTACACTATGTCAGTAGCTACAAATGTTGGCCTGTGATGAAGTTTGTTAAGTCTGTGGTGAAATGAGAAAAATAAGAACGGATATATTTGCATAAATTTATTTATTTTATAAATCTGTTAAAGTGGCTTGTTTTTATGAACAATGGGAATTTTTCCCCCTTTGACAGCCTTGAATGGCAAAATTCAAGTGTGCCCTCCATAATGTGCCCCTGATATTAAAAACATGTATGTATTTTTATTTGTTCATAAGCCCAAAGTTCTGGGAACCATCCGACTAGGTGACCATTAGGGTCCCTTGTAGCTCCAAAATTCGACCCTTTTCTTAAATCACAAATGATATTTAACAGATTCTAAAGTAGAAAGGAAGAAGAAAAAGCATTATCCTCTTTTTTCTTGTTTACTTCAGCATTTCCCCAAAGGTGTTCTGTTGAAAGAATGCCCCTGGCAAGATATTATAGCTATTCCACTAGAAAAGCAGTCTTAAGTCAAATGAGTTTGGGAAACAATGGGTTAAAAAAAAATGGACAGTTTTCTTAACTAAAGTTTTCAGAACCTGTAAAATTCTCATGTTTATTGTGACTCCCCAAAAGCAGACAAAGCATGAGTGCCTCCCAAGTTGTTGGAGGAGAGCAGATGCCGGCACCAAACCCCTTGGAGTATAGTATACCTGCTCCTGAGATAAATCTGAGAAGGGCAACATTAACTGAAACGAAGTTCCTCACTAGCTGCTTTCATAGTAAAGAGAAAATATAGCATTACAGATCAGGAAACTTCAACTTATTTTAAAATATTACCAAAACTATGGGTATTTTAAAAAATTACAAAAGAAGCCTGAATAAAAATACTTCATGATTAAAGTGCAATGGACTAATCAAAAGTTTCATGGCTGTGTTGACAACTTTTTTTTTTACTCATAACAAATAAATGAAAATTGTGTCAAGAGGTTTCTATCCAGTGATTACAACATGATAATGAAAGCATTTGGCATTTACAGAAGTCTGCAATAACAAAATTGTAGCTATCATCCCTGCACAGTGAATACAAGCCAAAATAAAACCAAGGTAAAAAATTTGAGCCTGAAAAAACACCCAGGTTCCTCTCCAGTTGTGTGTCCTTATTAAATATTTCAGCAGTGAGAACAATGAATTCTCAATGCTTGTGGTTCATAATTGATTTATTGAAACACTTCTACTATGATCAAAGAACAAAATTCTTGATAGAAAATAAAAATCTAGTGGTGTGTACTTGTTTTTATTTTTCTTTCCATAATTATCCAGTCAGAGTTGAGAAGGTTTACTTTGCCTTTTGTATTGCTTTTAACATGATCATGTAAAATATCAATTAGCCAAACCCTTCAGCCTTCACAAATTTGAGACTGGACTTTCACGTAACACACGGAGGAGACAATTTTCACTTGGGACAAGATGATCTTGGAGCAAACTATCCACAGGAGGACCTAGGAAGGATCTTTTGGATATTCTGACACTAACAATCCTTCTCTCTTACTGTATACACAGCAGGTTTTTGACAAGCCCGAGGCTCTGCACTGCCTCCAATATTTTCCATGATCACTGTATGGTAAGTTTCAGCCTGTTTTTCATAATCTTGCTGACTCCAGCAGTCTGCAACCATAAAAAACCTTCTCAGACCTGGAGTTGGCTTAGAAAAGTGCCTTTGCAAAGGAACAAAAAAAGTAAATGTAACATGTATATTCAAAGATAGAAGAAAGAAAAGCTTTTGTTTTGGTACTGATAGCCTCAAAAGAATGTTTTTTGGGTCTAAAACTCAAATTTTTAATTTTCTCCCGATGACATATGTAAACAAAATACCAACACGAAATTGAGATCACTTTAGTCAGGAAAGGGGGAAGTGTCCTGCCCAGCAGATCAAACCCTCATCAAACTCCACTGGAAAAAAGTGTCTATGAAGGAGCACATGACGCTACACGCCATGCCTGGAATCCTGCAGCATCTGAGTTAACAGCATGTGTGAGGTTTACACCAAAGAGTAAAGGCTTCAGAATTAGTTTCTTTAAAACCTAAAGATAGAACTGGGTTAGTCTCTGGGAAGGGTGATAAAAACACCAAACAACTCTTTTTAACAGACTACAATAGCCATCTATACAATTTGATTCAATATACAAATACTGTAGTTTGAAACTATACCATTCAAGCTTCTGTGAACATCTGCTAAACCTAATAACTTGGTTTTCATTTTTGCAATAAAGAGATCCAAATTAAAAGTAAACCACAGAAGGGAAAAAAAGTAAAAGCTTAAGCAACTCCTTCACACGTTCGAACTTTGACTCTCCACCCTATAACTCTATTCCTCCCCGCCACCCCGCCTCTGGTACAGCAGATCACATTTAACATCAACATTAAAAAACTAGTCTCCTCAAAAATTATTTTTTAAAACACAAAACATCAGAGCTACTTGCCTTTTGGCAAAGTCTGTGCATTTCCCAGGGCTAGCGTAATACTTCCACAGAGAAGTAGACACCCCAAGCTGGAGAGCATGTTGCATTTGCCACCTCACACGGGGACTGATGCTGGTGAGTGTCCCGCAACCCTGGAGCTGCATTTAAGTGGACTGTCTCCCAGTGACAGGCAGGCGGCTGCACGGAGCTCTGCCGTGGGCTTACTCACAGGGGGTGGAGACAAAATGACATCACCCCCTTTCTCACACACACACGAGAAAAAAAAGCACAACAGCAAAAACATATCATAATATTTCCTGCTAGGTTATAACTGCCTGTCTCTTTCTCTGTGATATAAAAATCAAAATTAGTCAATCCATATTTGTGAAAGAAAAATTATTTAGGTAATTTTGAAACATTGGTTGAGCTATTCTAAAAAATCCAGAAAAGACCTACTTAAAACCATTGGAATGTTGAAAATATAAAATAAAACCTTATTAGGAAGAAAACTGTTTTTAATTATCTAGTATACCAATCCAGTTCCTCTTTTTAATGGGAGTAAACTCATAAAAAATATGCTTTGAGCCATTCTGAAGTCCCACTATTATGAGAAACATTTAAGAGTAAATACTTGGCTATATAGCTATTCATTTTACATATATATGTATATATATACACACACACCCACAGAGATATATATATACAGATATTCTATCCAGGTAGATGTAGAGATATAGTGAATTCACTGTCACCGATTATCCACAGCTCTGGGCCATGTTCTGTAATAGTATTTTTACCTACATTATCATAATTTAATCCGCACAGTGGCTGTGCAGGAGATACGGTGTTATTCCCACTTTATCAGTGTGAAAAAGTGAAGCTTAGACAGGTTAACTGTCCTGACTAAGCCAGTGTACTCAAACACTTAATAATTTGGATGGGCTTTGGAACACAAATGACCAGAGTTTAAAGGTGTATGTTATGTGCCTTTGAACTAATTCCTCCATCCATAGTTCATTGCTTACATTTGATTGCTTGCTGCATGCTGGACACTGATCTGATCAGTTCACATATATTAAAATATTTATTCCTCAAAATAACCTACAAGGCAAACGTCTGGGAGCTAATTAAATAAAGGCTAATCTCCAGGCAACATTGTTATCACCTCTACTTTATAGGTAAATATTACTGGGCATAAAGAGGCTAAGTGACAGGCACAAGGTCACAGTGCAACAGAGCCAACATCTAAATCGGGCAATTTAACCCAGAGGTTACAGAGTTAATCACTAAACTTTAGGTTCTAAAGTACAGATAAGAGTACCAATTTCATACATGTGCCAGCAGAGTTTTTGGCTATTACTAACCATAGTACCTGGCCCACAGGAAGCATTTAATAAATAACAGTCACTGAAAACAACAATAATAAATCCCCCAATTAAGTAGAACTGTAATTCTAAACCAGGTGCTTCCACCTCCAACATTCACGTGTGTCTGCTCTCCCCTACATCACATTAGCTGGAATATAGGCATTGCTGGAATGGCTGAGTTAATAAAGTGCTTTAACTGTTACCTGTACATTTATATTGACTCTGAAAACAGCCTATTCATGTGGTTTCTGTAGCTGAACCAAATGTTGCTATAACTGAGGGAAATGGAATAACGCTGGTCAAACGAAATTCTAGTTGAAAAACTTACTAAAGGAAAAAGAAAAATTGAAAAGACAGCCCCATCTTCCAAATAAAGCGTGAGAAGGCACATTGTTAAAGTCGTTCAGAGCTGGCCCAGTGTACGCTTTCACCATAGGAATGCTCTGGCGCTGGCCACTGAGGGGATTGGGTTATTTAACAGGTCTTTTTCATCTCTAATTTTTTTACTTGACTAGGCAGCTCTCTCAAACCCGAGTTTGGACATTTATCCAGCTGGCACTGCAGATCTGCTCCTATAGGCCATTGCCATTAAGTTAAACCAGTGAGGCCATTGTGCTAGCAGAAATGACAGGTTTCTGAGGGGGAAAAATAACCCAGAAGAAATAGTGAAAAGAAGGCTGGTTCTTCAAAACAGTGTGAGGGGCCGGTCCCAGGGTTAGGTAATGGAATTAAGGGCTCAGCCTCTGCTTGGCCTGCAGGCTACACTAGCAATCATTATTTGCAGTTTGAAACTGTCTGGAAGCTAATTAAATAAAGGCTAATCTCCCGTTATTTTGCCAGAAAAAGATGGTTTATTACCTTAGCTGCTAGGACAGTGAAGACATTGAAAGTGCTGGAGCCCTCCTTAGACCAGGGAGGAGGCACATTGGAAAGAAACAGACGGCGTCAGAGGAGACATTTCACCTTCTCAATGAACAAAACGCTTCCTGTCATGTCAGAGTCCCAGCCCAAACAGGAGGTAGGCAAATACCCCAGAACTCTAAGTGCTTTGCTACATGGAAGGAAACTTCAGAGCTGTGGTCATGTAATCACTAGAGGCTTAAAGGCCATTTTCAAGGGAGAATGACCCTCTGACTGTGGGTCCACTGTAGAGGCCCTGTCAGGCCTCCCAGTTGTCACAACAGAACGCTGAGAATGCCAACACTAAGCTCTGGTTCAAATGCCATTCCTGTCTGTATTTACCTGGAAATACAGCAATGTAAAGCTCCATTACTTGTGAAATTATAGGATATTGAACCAACCAATATATGCTAAAAAACCCTTTTAACATATAAATGGTTTTACACACATTTATTCAAATTCACAGAATACACAACACCAAGAGTGAACTATATGTAAAATCTAGATTCTGGAGGATAACAATGTGCTGATTTAGGCTCATCAATTGTACCAAGTGTACCACTCTGGCAGGGGTGTTGGTAATGGGGAGGGCAGAGGGTGTACAGTATATCTCTGCAACACTGGGGTCAGGGAGTATGTATGTGAGAAATCTCTATCTAAAAAATAGAAAAAAATTCTATTTAGAAAATCTTGTTGAGAGAACGTTGAAGAAGAGCTACTGGAAAAACACATTATATGTATATATATTCTATGAAGGTAAGAACCATGCATGGCTGTTTTTGTTTATCACTGTACGCAGTGCATATGATAAGAATGTGGAAAGGATGATGAGTAAGTACCCATCGAAGCACAAGTCCTCAACTCCCCCAGATAGTCTAAAGGTTAGCTTTGAATCCAATCAGAGAAAGCTAGAGTATGACTGGATTGTACAGTTGTTGGGAGACAATTCTCCAAGTGTCCCTTGCATTTCTGTATATCTAATGGGAAGAGGCATTGGCTCCCTGTGCTCCAGACTATCTTTCCCAGAATGTTTGTATAGAAAACAGCCTTGGAAGATAGAAGTTTGTTTAGTGTCCCAAACAATAAAGGTAATGTTTCCCTTTGGAACAGGGGAACACATGCTCACTTCCTACCATCAAAGATTCAAAGTCCTTAAGTTCAGAGCTGCTTTCTTGCAATACAACCTGTGGCATATGTAAGTGTCATCTATACCTCCTTGTGCTGCCCCGTTGGAATGAGAGCTCTAGAACTGGCACAAATGCTGACACTGAGGCTACTGCTATTGCTATGAGTAAATAAACAGTCCTTTGTCTTTGACCCAGGAGTCTTATGTCTTCTGCCAGCATCCATGTACTGTGCATGTTAGTTTGTACGTACAGTGAAATCTCAACCTTTCATAGAGCTTGACAATAGGATTGGCCCATTCCAAAATATGCTCTTAGATAATCCTTGGTATAATGCCATCACCTGCGTTCAAGTCCACTGTAGGAATCAGCCATGAAATTCTATTGTGCATAGGAAGAATGTTGCTAGACATTTTTATAAAGAATCCTCTTTATAAAAATCCTGGAGAAAAAACTTTAACTGATTTTTATGTGAAAAGTTTGTAATTTTTTCTGAGCAACTGTATTTATTTTGTGACATCATAATCAGGTTTCTCATTCTGTATTGACTGCTAGAAAACCAGAGCCAAGCATGTCCCCCACCCATACTAAGTGTATAGCTCTGTGTGGTGCGTATGTTTTGGCATCATTCATGGCTTTATTTTCCATCCCCACCCTTATTTCTTGCTTACTTTACTTGGAGTTCTAATTTATGTGGTTTTGTAAGTTGCTTTTATTTATTTTTTCTTTTCTGGAAAAAGGTGAGGGATAAACAAACTCCACACACAGGAGTTGTGTCAAATATGTATTAAATATGTGAAGCGGGAATCTGTGAAGCTGTTCCCTGTTTTCTTTGTTTTTACACAACAGTAGAGACTGGTAGAATTTTGGAAAAATGATTGTATAGCATTACTTTTTTTTAAAAAAATGAAACACAGCCAATTTTATTCAAGTTCTCCAAAATTTATACTCAATATGTTGTTTCTAAAATGTATGTCACCATTTATATAATGGTTTTGTTTTTTCATCTTTCCTTTAGAGTTTTTTTGTTTGTTTTTTGTCTTTTCTTTACAGTCCTTCAGTAGAAGCCAGAGCCTTGAGTTGCCCAGTTAGGAGCCTCTGATCTACTATTGTGATTAAGTTTCCTCTCAACATCCACGGCCAACATCTGTCTTCTAAATGAAAGTCTTTTGCTGATAGAGGAGACTGCATTGTTATCCATAACCACATGACATAATTTAGAATCAATCTTGGCATCTAGTCTTGCATTTCTAATCCTTCTTTCAGCCTCTTCTGGAGTCCTGTTCAGTTATCTGCCAACATGTTAGTGCTGATCCACTGGTGAATACAACAAAAAGTTTCAATAGGAAGAGATGAGCATTTTCAATAAAATCCTGAAGACAAGCCACCAAGAAGAAGTCATTCACAAGCACAGATTCACATTCCCTCAGCTTTTTCTGAGCCCCATCAAAGTCAAAGTTAACATATGAACATTCAACTAACTCTGTAATTGGGTTTCTATATGTCTAAGACTCCTGTTCAATAACTGTGACTAGATCTTTCAGCACCTGCCAGCGGTTCTGAACCTCTTTGTTTGTTATGACTGCTGTAGTCAAATAGTGAGGAATATGTGGACACATTGACTGAATTGCATTAATATACTGTGGTTGATAAAGGAAGAAATCAATAATATTATCACACCCTTCGGGGTGGTTGAAGAAAACAGGGACCAGTGAATGAACCATGTTTGCTGCTGAAGAAACTGGAGTGGAGAACTCACAGAA